AGAGAGAGAGAGAGAGAGAGAGAGAGAGAGAGAGAGAGAGAGAGAGAGAGAGAGAGAGAGAGAGAGAGAGAGAGAGAGAGAGAGAGAGTGCATTAACTTCTTGGCAAACATTCCATTCTTATTGCGGGCGTAGCCGCAACAGGTCCCCTAGTAACTCATGAAATCCTCACCAAAGAGCTCCCTAAAGTGAAGTCAAAACTCTTTTGGGAATGAAGCACTTCTCGGTGTCTTGCCTGAAATGGAAGCTTTGCAAATCCAAAGCTTTTGTTCCAAAAAAAAGGGAAAAAAAAAAAAAAAAAGAATGACATTTTTTTCTCTTTCCCAACACACACAACACTGCCCCATCTATTCTGGGGGTTGTCAGTGGGGTTGTGCGGTTGCTTAGCACCGGCAAGCAAAAGGGGAGGGAGAGAAGAAGGAAAACGTGCCCCGGAGGCACTAGACACTATCCGAGGTGCCTGTGCAAACATTCCAAGATGGATACCGGGCTTGTGACCTTGGAGGACACTTCCAACCGGGAAACGGCCCGTCACAAAATCTATTTAAAATTAATGACTTATTCCAATTAAATAATGAGTGTTAATAGCCAAATCACCCCCTAAGTATGGAAGGCCGAAGGCACAAGAGCGCTCTTTTGTTTGATTGAGAGAATTTCGCGTAATGTCTCTGAGGATCCCAAACAGCTCGCTGGTCGCTGGCTAGGGCAAGCGGCCGTACATTTTTGTGGTTTCCTGCTGATAACCTACTTGCCCCAATGTATGGGGATCATTTGCTTAGAAATCTAAGCGAGGATGGGCCACTTTCAAAAAAAACAGGGAAAAAAGGAAAGATGTGTTTGACATTTTATGGTTCGAGATTTTACGGTTCGAGAACTAGGAACTCTGTAACTTGGCCAGTCATAACCCATTGGTCAGAGCTTCACTGGTTCTGATGTCTGACGTCTGACGTATGAGTTCTAACCATCAAAGCACCAGTGCCAAGAAACGGTTGGCTAACCCAAGTGTTCTGGGGGTATCAGCTGCGGGTCCGATACTGGCAATACGTCAATCATGGAGGGCGCCACAGAAGGGTCTCGACAACTGGTGATTTATAAATTCAAATCTAATCATGCGACAGTGAAGGAGAAGAAGAAGAAGAAGAAGAAGAAGAAGAAGAAGAAGAAGAAATCTCACAATTGAGAGACCTGATTGGTGATTTGGGATGAGATTTGTTACCGTGTCTGAAGGCGTATTTACTCTAGGAAATTTTGGACTGAATATCGCCATAACAATGGTCAGATGCATTCAGGAAAGTACGAGTCTGCACTGACATTCCTTACAATCCATCGATGTTTGTTTGGTTGTTTTGTGATGCGCTCTGTGCATTTGTTGATTGGAAAAAAAAAAAAAAGGAAACAGGGATTGACTTGAGCCTTCTCACAGCAGTCCTTCTGCCCGCGTCCCAGGTCTGTTGATCTCGTATCCTTTTCCTTGCTTACCAAACCCTTGTGCCACTTCTTCGGTATTCCAAAATGACAAATTCTTGGCTGTGTAATGAACCCACAATCGTGAGAAGCTTCCACAATACAAACGTGCAAGTAGTCCCCATGCACACAAAATGGAACCAATCACGATGCCGAATAACTCTGAATAAGTCATGAAGAATGCAATTATGTCCCAGAAAAGTAGCAAGAATCGAGAAGGGAGACAAAGGTAGAGAAGCAGCGGGGAAGCAATTATGTCCCAGAAAAGTAGCAAGAATCGAGAAGGGAGACAAAGGTAGAGAAGCAGCGGGGAGGAGGACGAGGAGGATAATTTCATTAATAATCAATAATACAATTGAATGGGCTAGCATGTGAGTCCATCCTTCCAGTGGAAGAAATCAATGCTACCAGGGTTCTGCAGGCCGTAACATGGGGAACCGTTTAAACCACCAGTACTTCCTAGAGTCGTGCCCGTTAACGCGCCATGATTTTAGGAGACGTACGGGCTACTACAGGAGCGCCCAAATTCATCCGACTAGAAACGTTTGTACTCTTTTTTTCCGCGGTCGATAGCTGGGCCAAGTACTGGTGGTACTTCATGTATTCTTCTGACTTGCCGGTGGACTGGAACCAGACTGATGCTCCCCAGATCCAATGAGGACCCAGGCCCGTAAGAACCTGTTTTCCGGAGAAAAATAAATAAAAATAAAAAATGTAATAAATAAAATTGAACCTCCCAATGGATGAGCACTACGGGAACCTCCTGAGGCCTGGCATCCAGGTGGGAACTTAAGTGTTTCCCGGGCCGATTGTTCCTTAAAGTACTCTCTGACTTTTCCACCAGTAACGGGGTTGCTGGGACAAATGGGTACAATTTTTTTCTGAAGGGTTGAAGGCTGAATGAAACTCATCGCGTCATTAGGCTTTTTTTGCCGGCTGGGACGTCCTGTGCTCCGAACACGATTCAGTCCATAAGCTAGCCTGTAGGATATCGGATTCTACCTCATGCTCTGCCAGTGGTTCCACAGCTCTTTGTCGTTTCGATGACTTGGTAGTCGATATCCCGTACCTGCCAAGATAGATCTTTCGTCCAATCTTTTCTCTGCCCCATTGCCTTGATCGGATGACTGTTTACTACAGTTTGCTCCATCCGAGGCGAACACGTTTCAGGTAGGGTATGTCTACATGCTTTAACTCTTCTCACCCCTTCCTCCGACCCCACCCGTGTCTAGGGTGTCTCCCTTCCAACTGTCCCACGGTGTGCTCTGTACTCTTGTCTCTTCCACAACCCACATGCATCACTCCATTCCATACCGCCTTCCCGCTCTCCCAATGAGTCCCATGATCTGATCCTGCCTCCTGCCTCCCTCACTTTGCCCGGCTCTCCCATCTGCCGCTTCCTCTACCTCCGGACCTCCTAGCTGGTTTTCCGCCTTTTGCTGATTACCTTGGCCTTCCCACTCCCTGCTCTCGGTGTTCTGCTCTCTTTCCCGCCCTCCCTCCGGTGCCTCCTCCTGAACTGCGTCCTGTCCTCCAGTAGTCTTGCTTATGTCGAATCCAACCCTTATGCCGCACACTTGACTAGGGGTTCAAGGAGTGAATTTCGGATAGGGAACGACCATCCCCGGATATTACTTCCTGTATATATTATATTAGGCAGAGTCACCTTGCAAGCCCAGCCATCCCCTGATGATGGCCACTTTGGCGAGGTGGGTGAAACATGTTGGGATTATCGCCGGTCTCGCTCCATGATCGATCATTGTACATTTTTTGGAAGGGGGTTCATTTTTCACGCTCTTTTATGAGTTTGTTTCTCTCTCATCCTTCTCTTCCTCTTATGTGATCTTTCCCGTGCTCCCTCTCACTCCAGCATAGACCAATGACAATGCTCTTCTTCTTTGCCAACCACTCTCGTCCTCCTTATCTCCTCCCCTCTTATTCAAACAAGAAATAACAATAATAATGTTGAATGGCTGAACCAGAATCAATGTCTGAATCCCTCTTCTACTGCAGGCACAACATGAGGTCCACCATAGCCATGACCACCCTTCCTCTTCCTCTTCATGTAGGTCGCGACTATGGCGGATTACTGAGGGCTCTCCCCTCCTGTCCAAAGGACAACCCAAAGCAGCTATGTCGCTGCCTTCCTGTGCAAAGGACAACACGAAGCAGCAACGCCGCTGCTCATTAGGCCGCCATGCCTGACTCTGCCCCGAGCTTCCTTGGTGTGGCACTACCCCAACTGGGCCTTCCAGATGCAGCGCCTATCAAGGTGATGAAGATGGTGTCCCCCATAGTCAGGTAGGTCCCTCGCCACTCTCCTCCTTGGTCCTCTTCTCCCTCCTCCTCCTACCAGTAGGAAGCTCCCGGGCTTCTTCCTCTTTCCCAGCAGTGCCGTAGTAGCCAGCGCTCCTCCAGCCAGCGCTCCAGCAGTGTGTCGCCAAACTTGCACACCGAAGAATGAGGATGGGCTCTTTGCTCAGCCTCAAGATATAGCGGCCTACTTGCTTCCTGGGCGGTGACTTCCAGGCCGCTCGGCCTCCCAAGCAACCGGTACCTCCTCCCTTTTCGGAGGGAAACATCATTGCAGACTCTGATATTGCCTGTACAGGCCCTAGACTCAGACTGGGTGGACTGGTACCCGTCTTGACCTACCCTACCGCTACTGGGCCTCTAAAAATGCCAACTTTGTCTTCTTCTGCTCGGCCTCGAGTACCTGGCACATCTACTGGGTGTGGTACCGGCCTACCTGCTACTTTGAGTGTTTTTTCCGCTGCTCTAAGTGACGCGGGCCTCTTGCTCCGCCACTTGAGTGTTTTCCCTGCTGCAACCCTCAATGTCACGGCCACAGGTAAGTACCGGCCCTACGGGCCTCCCGAACTAGCAAGTACCCTTGCGGGTCACACACAAACTCATGCCGACAAGCACTCAGACAGGCACGCAGGTCACCAAACACACACACACGCACAGACTTAGAAAACTCAGCAGAATGCGGGAATCTCAGTAAGGCATCCATTCCATCGGCAGAATTCAGAAATCAGCAGTGTTCTCAGTCTGTGTTATGGCGGGTCATTACACTATGTTATGATCCTGGCCAGGTTCGTAACAAAAGAAAAGAAAAGCGAAGAAAAAATGAAAAAAGAAACAGCTCTTCAGTCCCCCCTCATCCTCGAGGACCAGGTCCCACCGGTCGTCACCTCAGCGTACAATCTCCTGCCTCAAAACACTGATGAAGTCTCTCGGCAGGTGCCAGATATGGCACTCAACCGCCAGCAATGAAGCTTGCCTATGTAGGTTGGCGCCTGCCTTCCTTCAGCCTCCTGATGGGAACTGCAGCTCCGGTATCCACAGCGCCAACAGGTAAGTCACACAAGTGGTGGTAAGCTTCTCTCACTCTCTCTGTCTCCTCACGCATCCTGATCACCGTCGTCCTCACCCTACCTCTGTCCTATGGCTATGGCACTCAAGCGCCGTCACTAACTACAGCTATTGTCTTCTGCTTCTTAGGTCAATGGCACTCAAGCGCCCTCACTAACTACAGCTACTGCCTGCTCCTTCCTTGGCACCAGCCTCTCCTGCCTTCCTCCAGTGCTGTGCGGAGCAGCGTCCAGCACCACAAGTGCGCGGCAGAACGAATGGGCCAACTCAGGCAGGCAACTCGTTTGTTGAGTTGGCCGACCCTCGCCTGCCTCAGCTTGCCTCGAAGGATGCACGTTTCTTGACCTGGTTGGCCCAGATTTGCTGTCGGCCAATGCGTGCCTGGTGCCAGTTGGCCCTGAAAACTTCTAGAAGAGTAGGGAGAGCCTTTGATTTTGCATCAAATATGTGGTCGTGATTGACTCCTAAGAAATCTCTGACTCCTTTTTTTTTTTTTTTTAACACCCGGGGTGGTGCTAGGGGTGCTGGTAAGAGCAGACACCGCTAGCACTCCCAAGGAGGCTCCATCTATTGGTGGGGAGCGGCACCTGCTGGAAATCGGGTCCAGCGTCCCTGAACATTATAATGGTTTTCARAACAGTRTACTCCTGCCAGCATTGATTGCCCGGGACACCGGGGATTGACTGTACAGGTAAGCGTCCCATGCTAAGATCTGGGTCAGCGGAGCTGCACCTGCTGGAAATCGGGTCCAGCATCCCTGAACATTATAATGGTTTTCAGAACAGTATACTCCTGCCAACATTGATTGCCCGAGACACCGGGGATTGACTGTACAGGTAAGTGTCCCATGCTAAGATCTGGGTCAGCGGGAACTTTCTAAACCTCAGGAGGAAGAAAGGAAGTAAGGATGATTGCTGGTAACTTTCCAACCGAATGAGAAAAGGAAGTAAAGATGATTGTATTGGACAAGTTACGGGCCGCCTCTTCAGTCTGCACTAGACCGCCAAATCACTTGTCTCTCCTTTAGCAGCTACTTCCTGTTCCTCAGGCTGGGTTCCCGGTGTTGCCCAATCAGTCTGCACCATACCATTGCATATCCACCATCCCCAGCTGGGGGGGCGGGAAGGAGTCGGGGAAGTCTGTGGCAGGTCGCAGCGCTATCTCCTGGCCCATAGTAGTCCAGTCTCTGAAATGGATGCAGTAGTCTCTCCTGAATTCCTCCT